CCTAATAACACAAATAGTTCACCTTCAGTATCTAAAAGCTTGAGGTTTGTGAGGATGGGAGTTTAACTTCACAAACCACTTAAAAAATCCCAGCTTTTGAAAAATTTCCTCCGTTAAAAATAAATAAATATTAGAGAGTACGATTTACGTATTTCATCATTCTCTTATATAGGAGTATGGTACAATGGAATAATGGAATAGTGCATACTTCATAGGGCTGTTTGTAACGAGGGCTAATTTGATTCATTCGCAGGGTTCAAGGGGTTTATCCATATGATTTTTATTTCAAGGGCAAAATTAAATATTCGGGGAGTTAAACTTTTATGTTCGAGTTTTAAACATTGGGTTAAGTAGAGAATAAACTTTAAATTGGGTAGAGAATGAATATTAAAATAAGTAAAATTTTAAAAAAGAGATAATTGTTCATATAACTCATAATTAAATTAAAAAAACCAAAGTAATATTATGGAGTGAAAATTTAATTAACAAGTAAGTTCACTCTTCATGTTATTGATCAAAATTTAATTTTTTGAGAATAATAATAAAGATTTAATTTTTTATGAATTTTTTAATTTTAACATAAATAAATTATTTTTAATTAAATAAAATAATGTAATTTAAAATTAAAATTAAAATTTATTTTAAAAATTAAGATTGGTATATATAATTTTTTATATTATTTTAATATAATTTTAGTACAAACTCTCATAGTAGAGGCATTGCAACAGTGCAATTCTTTTGTTTTTTAAGTGAATGGTAATTGGGTCTGTGGATTAGCTAGAAATACTGGTTCGAACTACTGATTTAGCTGCTGAAATGTGGGGGATTCGCGATGGTCAAGTCTTCTCATGGCCAAGCAGTCGAATATTCAAAATCTTATCGTGGAAATGGATTCCTTAGTTGCCTTTCATCTTCTTTCAAAGACACTCAATCCTAATCATCCTCCGCTTACCATGATTTGGGATTGAAGGGAAATATCGGCGAAGATTCCTAAGTTTGGCTGCGCCAGGTGTTTAGAGAAGCAAAGTCCTGCGCTGACCGACTTGCTGCTATGCGTCATGTGCTCTTAGTTGTTTATTTTGAAGTTTGCTCAGCTGGGCTTTCGTTATCTTATGCTGCCTATGGGGATTGAATTTCCCAATGACTAATGTAACCCTTTTTTATTTCAATAATATTCATCTTGTTGACAAAAAAAAGAGAAGATACAATTAGGGAGCACTGCTCTAAATAATATTTTCTTAAGAACAACAATTAATTGCTGACATTTATTAAATATATTTGAGGTAAGAAAAAAAAATATTAATGAAGTTTAGATTGTATTAAATTTTAGTGTATTTATCATTAAATCAAAATAAATTGTTTAATATTGAAAATCTTTTTTTAATTAATAATTTTTATTTACAATTTAATACTGAATCACAAAATAATAAATTTTCACCGCAACACAAACACTCGTCTTGTGCATCTATGTATTTGTTTTTTTTTTTTTTTTAAACATTTTTCAACCATTGGAACGCGTGAATCAAAAGTCATTATTTAATGTTATTAATTGTTGCGTAGAAATCTAAAATAATCTCTATATTTATTGAGGATCATTTATGACCACGCTGATGGGAAGTAACGATAAGAGAAATCTGAAATACTTAAATGTCAATTTAACGTTGTTACATGCTTGGCTAAATTTCTGAAAATGACTTCTTCTTTTTTTATTTACAACAGAAATTAAGGTGTTTATGCACCTGGCCTTTGCGGCCTAGTGGTAATAGTCACCCCGGTACATTCCCCTCCTCGGGTTGGGTTCGAAACCCGTCCCTTGCAAATATGTTCAAAAAAAAAATAGAAATTAAGGTGTTTATAACTTTTTTAAATTTAAGTGTTCACCAGCAGTTGAATGGAAGCTACAAACCTGCAACTCCTATATGGCAAAGCCAAAGATAATGATGCATTGTCTTTATTTTTTGGACTTCCACTCGGGGTTTGCGCTAAGGAGACTATTATTTGGCAGTAGATTCGTATTTGGCAATGGCAAGTTTGTCATTGACGATTTGTCATTCTATTGAAGCCATCTCCCAATTGCTTTGTGCTCATAGTTGTAACCATCAGCAGCAACACATGGGTCATCCATTACATCCTGTAAAGGAAAAGAAATAGAAGGATGGCAACCTTAAGATAGCTACAGTCCCTTACAGCAATCTCAAATGTAGCCTTAATGTGATGATTATAACTGTACATTAAGTATTGGGCAAATGAAATGATTAGGAGGTGCTGATTGAAGTTCGCTAGCCTCACTAGCAAACTTCTTTAGTCTTTCCAGTGTTGGAAGTACTTGATCTTTCAAATCAGGTCTATGCTTGCGCCGGAGCTCTGAACATCTCAGTCCTAGCGAAGCCAACACCTCTGTTTCTTCAACTGGCCAATCCCCAGCCGCTGAATCTAAAATGTCCATCAATTTACCATCATCCATTGCTGTCTCCACCATATGAGGTAGTGCCATTGCTGGTTTAGCAGTTAGCAACTGCAAAATCACTATCCCAAAAGCATAAACATCACATTTTGGAGAAATCAACCCAGTTACCTGGTACTCAGGATCAATATAGCAGACTGTTCCAACAAGTCCGGCGTCCTTGTATGTGGTTGTCTCGGAGCCAGTGTCTGAATTAAGCATTGTGGAAAGTCCAACATCTCCAATCTTACTAACAAAGTTATGATCAAGCAAGATGTTTGCCGGCTTCAGATCACGATGGATGATGGGTTTAGGCTTTGTGTTGTGAAGGAAAACAAGAGCTGAGGCTACTTCCCATGCAATTCGATATCTCTCAAACCATGGGATTGGAGGGGTGTTGTTCTTGCGGAGCAGCCTCTCCTCCAAGCTACCATTTTCCATGTATTCATATACTAAGCAACCTTTATCAACACATGCACCAATGAGAAGAAGCAAATGTGGATGCTTGAATGTGCACAAGGTTTCTAGCTGAAAAATATTTAAATTATTTTAGTTGCATTTCCAGGCAAGAGTTCTGAACACTGGACATAAATTTCAGAGGAAAAAGGCAAAATCAACCACATAATGCCATTGTTTAAAGGAAAATTGTGTACCTCCCTCTGGAATTCTTTGATGCTTTGACCATCTTTTGAGTGGAGAACTTTCACTGCTGCAGTTGTATGATGCAAAAAACATTTATAGACAGTTCCATATGCTCCCTTTCCAATTTTTAGATCATCTGAGAACGATGATGTGGCTGACACAATCTCTTCCCAGGTGAACCTCTGATATTGTAGCACAGGACCAACAAGAGCACTCTCAAGTCTGTCTTTTTCTTTGGCTTCGTGAATGATTTTCATCTCTGCTTCTCGCCTTTGTGAAGCTTCTCTGTCAGTACAATGCTTCACATACTCAGCTTCCTTTCTTGCAGCTTCATACTTCTCTTTTTCTTGTCTAGCTAGTTCTTTCGCTTCGTCCTCCTTAGAGCTTATTTCCTGAAGCTTCTTTGCTTCCTCTATCCGACGTTTATCTAGAGTATCAAGCTGAGAAACAAAGTAGCCAGATCATGTTTAATAGCTTCCTAACATGGATAGGAGTTGGACTGAAAAAAGCATCACTTAACTCCCTAATGTCAGTGAACAGCGCTTTGCAACTAACCTTTTGGGAAGCATCAAATGTCTCACTTTGAGCCATTGCATACAACCCCTTCACACGACTGAGTTGAATTCTCAACCTTTCTGCCTCAGAGTTAATCTTTACCTGCATAAATGATATATAAATTCCAAGTATTCTAAAATTCATGGAAAATAAAAAACCAAAATAGAATATACTTAATAATAACAAAAAATTTTGCACTTATTAGGTTTAGATACAAGATTTGATTATCAGGAAGAAGAAAGAAATGTTGAAATGTCTCAATGGGATTGAGGTAATGCCAAGCACGCGTCCTTTGCTAATGTTCAAATCAAATGTGACAGTAATACTAATTTAAAGTTACCTGGCTTTCTGAGAAAGAACAGTCTGTAACAACATCCAATATAGAAGCTTGATCTGATGTCCACGATTGCCTGTCTGCCTCCAAGCTTTTGCCGCTAGGACTTTGGCTGACTGCTACTCCAGTTTCAGCCTTCCCTGCCGTGATATCGAGAGACTGGCATCTAGAGTGGTTAATATTAAAAGAACTATTTCTTGCATGAAAATCTCTCTTGCTTATGGCTGAAAGTGCTTGAAATCGCTGCCACAGTAGGGAAGAGGGCTTGTATGAAGCATAAGAAGCAACTGAGCTTGAGTCTGCAGAAAAATAGAAATTAAGGCAGAACTTTATTAAAACTTTCACCAATTCCACCAAACCTTTAACAAACCTCTTCCGGACCTCAGTGCACATCATCTTATCCTAATTGAGTTATGGAAACTCTTTGTTACATGAATCCTAGGAGGAAGAAAAGATGAAGACAACTTTCACAAATTAAATGTTTACCTGATTGTTTCCTGGAAGTATAAACAGATGAACTCCTAGATAAAGTCCTCGAAAAACTTATTTCACTGCGGTCATCTTTAAAACTGCCAATTGTCTCCTCGTCAGATGGACGGATTGATAACAACTTTCCTTTAGAAACAACGTAGACTGTACAAGAGCTTGGAGTGCAAACAGAGATTCTTGAAGACAAATTATTCTTCTTAGCTTTCCTATAAAGTCAGATTAAAAAGGAAGAAAGAAAACATTGATAATTTCAGTGAAAAATACAGATAGCTTAAGCATAAACTGACTATGCATGATCAAATTTTCCTAAAGTACTTGATTGAATATGAAACATTTACACCACATCATGCATACTGTTTGATAGCTTTTCTACTCTAGTTGACACTATAATTATTAACAGCCAGCATAAAAAATTTCATTTTCTCCAATATGTGATGCTAATACCTTGTAAAAAGGCTCCGATTTGGAGCTCCAATAACAAGCTTGGTGATTCCACCCTTTGCAACCACCTCTGCTATTGCATTTGCCACATCATCCGATTCAATCAGCAAAACATCTGCTTGCACCTATATATATATATATATATATATTCATGATGAAGAAATTTTAGTTTTTAGTTGTTGGTTCACAAATTCACATGATACCTTCAAGATAAAGTCGACTAGAAAAAGGAAAAACAGAGCTACCTTTCTCTGAGCACACATTTTCTTGTAAGGTAGAAGCAACTCACTTGTCTGACAGTCCACTTCCTTCATAAAAGCAGCTGCTACATCCTCTCGGACTTGAGAAAAAGGAATGTAATTTCCCACTGGAAGGACAAATTTGTATTCAATTAAAGTCCAATGCCAGTATGTTCCATATTTCTAAATACAAGTCAAGCAAATTATGTGTGTTTGATATGCAAGTTTTTCTTATTTTTGCTGTAACAGATTGAATGATTTTGTGGAAAGCTTGACTTACTTGGTGTAGGAACACCTTTTATCCTTGGACGGACATACAACAACTTAAGCACAAGATTTCCCTCAGGAATGAACTTGTCCAATGCCCAACCGACCACATACTTGCTTTTGCTATTTCCATTGATAGCTGCTACAACAGTCAAATCATGAGGAGGCAGAAATGAAAGTCCTCCCTCTATTTCAACATCAGTTTCAGATTTCTCCATCACTCTGCAGCCTATTTGTTTAGTAATGAATCTATGACTTCTCGATTTATCACCAAATGATCAAACACTTTAAGTCAAATACCATAACAGAATCAAGCAACACCATAAGACTATAAGGCCATGCAGCTGGAGTTTGTAGCCACATCAAGACTCAGAACACATAAAGAAGGTAAATTCTTCATCAATCAACGATTTCATCTCGATCATATCTAAACCTGTAAAAAATTTTCAAATTCACATATGTACTCGAATATCAAAAGCAGAAGATAGTGAACAAATTACCAACTTTTCTCCAAAATTTCATACTTCAAGCCCCTTCCTTTTGTAGCTCCAACCCAAAGACTCTGAAGCAACTCTGCTTTTGATTGTTGAAAACAAAACCAAGAACCACAGGTAGAACAAACTTGATTGTAATTTTAACAGAAAGCAATTGGTAGAACAGTACACAGCACCAAAGAACTGGGCCTCTAGAAATTTACTGCTTTATTTTGTGATGCAACTCTCCCGTGTGGCATAGTGAACCCCCCTCTAAAATCGACAATTATGTTCCTTTTTCTAATGGGTTTTGAGGTTCCTTCCCTTCCATCTTAGAAAAGAAAATAGTTATTATTATTATTATTATTATTATTATTATTATTAAGGTAAAATTATACTCCTTTCAATTTGTGACTAAAAGTTTGCACTTGCATGCATCCGTCTGATTTGCCCTTTAGGCATACATTAATGTTTGGTAGTGTTTGGAGCCACACAGAATATAATTACGACAAGAAGAATGCAAGATTAATGCCAATGTATGAAAGAGATTTTCCCAGAAAACGAGTTCGGGAATATCCAGGCATCTCGTCGTCACTTGTCTGCTAATTTGTTTTAAAATCCTTTTTCAAAGTAGGTGATATCATGCTATATTGATTTTGCTAATAAAAAATATTGTTACATGGTATTTTACGTATTACACTATAACTCTTCTTGTGTAAGTATCAGATTGCAACATACACAATTTTCTAGTATTTCTTTCAGTCTCATGATTTTTAATTGAGTTCATGCTTCATTCATTTTTTATGTCTTCAGCTATCTTTGAATACCATGATATCATTCGTTTATACCCAAAATAAAAATTTTGAGTCTACCTTGATGTATAACTTATGATCCATGAATCAAATCTAATTCTGCCAGTTCTATTAATTTAGAACAGATAATAGTCGTAGACATATGATTAAATAAAACTACAACTAGGAAGCCACAACATATTCAACTTTCTTGTTTTGAGCAAGGCAATCTTGCATTAGACTAGAGCATGCCAGCAAATACAGATAGAAATCAGACAAGTTCGATGCAAAGGCTACACAAAAAAGTCATGACAGTTCATAAAACCACTCCAAATTATATAAACCTTAGGACTCCATATTCTTCACCCTGGATATGATGTCCACCGTGGCTTCAATTATTAAGGTATCCTTTACAAGGTAGCCTTTATACGGGTCTCTAAGATTTTTCAAGCTCATAAACTTAAGGCAACCCCATGGCATCTCTGCTGCAGTACTGAACCATTTGCAAGCTGTAAAACGAAAATCCAACGAAGCAAATCTTTCAAGTGATTGTCATGGTGCTGTGGAAGGTTCCTAAATAACACATTCAGAAGGATGCTATCACCTGTAAAGGACTCATGTGTGCGCCATTCTGTTGGTTCTTCATTAGCAGCATAAACTGAGCACAAAGCTTTATTTTGCAAGTTAGTGTTTCATTGCTATCATTTAACCATCTATAGACCGACAAGTTTTCATCTCCTACTCTCCTATCTCCTTTAGGATACAACTCTAGATACCTAAAACACAAAAAAGATATCAAATAAAGGAATTGGCAATAGTTGTAACTTAAGTACCAAATAAGACGTAAAAAATGAAAATAAGGGAAAAGGATATATATATATATATATATATATCTGTTTAGACCACGAACCATTTAATCCACCAGCAGTAAGCACCTCGGACTTAATCTTTTCTTCCACTAGGAGAGTAAGTTTTCCTTGTTCATCCTTTATGGTTGACAAATACTCATATTTACCTTTAAAGAGAAAAACCTCTGCTCCAAAAACGCAGGTGTCATTGAAAAGATACTCATTGAAAATTTTGAAAGACAGTAATCTTGGAAATCCCAATTCCATTTGCATTGCCTGAAAGTGTCTAATTGCGACCTTAGAATCTAAATGCAAAAGAATGCATATGTTTTCATTATGAACATGACAAAATTAAGCAAGGTAATTGACAACTTCCTGATCAATTCAAATAAACACCCTCGAAACACATGGTACTTGTCCCCAATCTGATCATATATGAATAACTGGAAATCAACACTCACAACCCATCCAGGACATAGCTTATCTGTTTCAGCAATCATCAAGTACAGGGAGACACAACCATCCACATCTTTTGATTTACCACCGTCATGGTGAAGTACAAACTTCCTTAGAGAAGTAAAAGAGACAATCATTAGCCACTACTAATCAAAAGAGAATGCAAAGGATAGGCGCTGTTATATATGGATATATAAAGGTTTGCATTGCTAATCATTTATAGCCTCCAGCTTGAAAAGGTTCAGATTCATATCTTTTGTCTTGTGTACCTCAGATCAATTGAGAGAGTAGCGAGAATGATTCCACTTTCAACATGAAGTGTTCTGGTGGGCTGTTTCCCACTGTCTCCAATATTGCAACATCTACAAAATGCCACACAAAATCAGATGATTTCATTTGAACCAATAAATGGGATCAAACCTTAGAATCCATTCCACCTCTTACCCCCAAGTCCCAATTCCATTAGTCCAAATAAATAAATAAATAAATGAATAATAAAAACAAAAGAAGTGACCCAAATGAAAAATTAACAGCTTTGAAATAAGATTTGCAAAGGTGGTTTTGGCCCCTCAAGATCAGCTCAAACTTAATACTTGCTCTTCCAAAACTAGGATTTCATTTCTGAAATTTAATTTTAATGGTTTTTACCTTTTTGGAGATTTGACAGCAAGCAAGAGGATGTCAAAAAAAAAAAAAAAACCTCATAATTAACGCACAAAACCGGAACAAAACTAGAATTAGTTCAATATTGAACTAAGGGTATGTTTGGTTGCATTATGGACATTTGGATCCAAATAATTTTAATAAAACATGCTTGCCACCCTTAGTGGAGTTTTGTCCAGCACTCAACAGGTACATTTTCAACCGAATTTTTGCGAGGTCGAGGTAAATATACACACTACAAACCAGTGCACTTTGCAGAGATAAAAATTTCGGATCAGTTATTGTTACATAACTTATAGGATTGATAAATCATAGCAAATTCTATCAATTCAAAACTGAAATAATATATATGCAAATGCTTCACAAAATGCCATAACTGTACTCATAAAACAACTCCTTTACATTTTTCACTCTCTGATCTCTGTAAGGAGATGTGATCAAGACTGCCTTGGCCTCAATGAGTAATGTACCGTTAACAAGGTGCCTTTCTTTGGGTTTCTAATGTGTTTCAAGCCCATGAAATTGGTGAAACCCCATCGGTTCTTTGATGTAGTGAACCATTTTTTATCTGTAAAAACAAAAATCCCACAAAATACTTTTTACATTTTTAAATTGATTGCCATTATGCTATGAAAGGGTTCCTAATTAATAACAAACTCAAATGGAAATTTCATCACCTATACGGGACACATGGTTGCCATCTTTTTGGTTTTTCAGTAGCAGCTTCCACTGAGCATGAACTTTTCTCTTGCGCGTAAGGGCTTCATTACTATCACATAACTATACATAAATAGACAAGCTTTTACCCTTGTGTCTTCTATTTCCTTTAGGAAACAGATTTAGCATCCTAAAAAATCAAAACCATCAAGAATCAATAAAAAGAAGTAGGGAAATAAGCTAGCAAAAACTAGAGACTTTGGTATATGGGTTATTAAGCACAAGCACATGAACCATTTCAGTCCAGCAGCAGTAAACTCCTCGGACATAATCGGTTCATCCTCTAGGAGAAAAGTTTTGAATATTCCCGCTGTATTCGGTGTGTTTAGTAGTGTTTATGGTGGAGAAACACTCCCATTTACCTGTATAGTCTACAACAAAAACCTCTGCTCCAAAAACACAGGTGTCACCAGAAAGATACCCTTTGGAAGGTTTCTCGAAATCTTCAAGAGATACTAATCTTGGAGTTCCTAATTCCTTCTCATTGCATAAAAGTGTCTCACCTCAAAATCTTAATGCAAAAAAGAAACGAAGATATTCTCACCTTATTTATGAACATGACAAACTAAGTAAATGAGGGTCTCTTGATAGAAATTCCTGTTTGCAAAACAAGAACAGCTGAATAGGAAATTACAGCCTCTAAAATTAGAGGACCTGCCCCATCCAACGATTTAGATTTCAACATCTACAAAACGTCACACAAAATCAGATGATCAAACCTTGCCCATTCGGCCATTCCCCTTCACCCAAGTGCCAATTCCATTAGTTCACAAAAAAAAGAAAAAAGACCCGAAAGCTAAAACGAGCAGAGTTTAATAAGGGGCACAATAAGAGCACTGAAGAGTGAAGACTACTGTTTTGGAAAGAGTACGTACCATTGCAACCATCCTCTTCCATTAGAGTGGGTGATCAGTGACTGATTCAATTTTTAGTTAAATAGCAAAGAGGCAAAGGAAGAAGAGAGAATAACAGAAATTTGGGATTTTTAGAAGAAACTCAATTTCCCTAATATTACAAACTAACTGATCTTATAGGGAGTAGAAACGCAATACCTTAATTGCCAAACGTAAAACCCTAGTAATTAAACTTCACTTCTTAATTCAACTCCCTAATAGAAATCTTTG